TGAAAAATTGAATGTAATGTATAACCATCTGGGAGGCAGACTGTACCCTTACTAACAATAGGGGCATGTATCCTATCTGATAGCTGCACATGTATATGTAACTGCTCGTCAAAAGTGGTGAAGTGATGAGCATCACCTGTTATATGACCATTCGTACCTGAGTCTAACATCCAAAGGGGAGAGGAACTAGCACAAGTATGAAAGGCATGAGGTATACCTATAATGGTGGCAGTAGCAATAGTCGAACCCTGAGAAGTTAGGACGGACATAAGTATATCCAATCGGAAAATGATAACATCTATATCACTCTGCCAAGGAGTAACAGCAGGAACAGCGGCAGTAGGTTGTGGTACCTCAACAATAACAGCAGTATGGCTGCGAGGAGGTTGCTTAAGCTCCGGATAGAGCTTCTAGCAAGTAACCCTAAGATGGCCTGGTCGACCACAATAATCACACTGACGAGAACCAGGAGGTACATTCCAGGTGGGAGGTGGCTTAAGTTCCGGATAGAGCTTCCAGCAAGTAGCTTTGAGATGTCTTGGTTGGCCACAATAATCACACTGACGAGAACCAGGAGGTACATTCCAGGTGAAAGTTCTAAGAACAGAGGTCTCAAAAGTAGTAGTCATAGCAATAATAATACGTGGGCACCTGTGACTGAAAAAAAACTAACTCTAAGATAAATTGAGGGATAAAATAAGGGAGAACAATATACCTCCAGTTGAACAGTATCGACAAATAAAGAAGGTCCAGAAAAGCTCCCAAATAATTAAGTTACGGTGCCCAGAAATTCAATAAATATATAAATAAATAATCTATTGCATCAAGAGCAAATTAACAGAGAAAAGGATTCAACCTCTCTTAAAAAAGTCTTAGATACTGCAATTTGGCAGCACTGTGACGAAGAATGCGAAGGACGAAGCCACAACTAAAAACGCGACCCGACAGTGGGCTGGTCTGGGTTTATGGGTTTGGTTTATTGACCCGACGTGGATTGAGGTTATTTCGGGCGGTGCTTTATGCTGGGTATGAGGTTTGCTATGGTTATGAGGTTCTGTCGGTGCAAGTATATTGGAGTTTGTCGATTTGTGTTTTTGTTTCGTTGGTTGGGCAGTGTATTGGATTTGGGCAGTGTATTCGGTTTTTCGGTTTATGAGGTTGTGTTACAGTCGGTGGTGACTGGCTGGTGGATGGGTAGTCGTGGATCGAGGTTGTGTTGTAGTCGGTGGTGTAGGCTAGGCTATCGGTGGTTGCTGGTTGTTCGGTTGTAGTGTTGTTGGCTGATTTTGGTGGGTGTTGTGTTGGTAGGTAGACGGTAGAGTGGTGGCTATTAGTGGCCAATAGAGTGGTGGTTGTCGGTGGAGTGGAGGCTGTGTCTTTGTTTTGCTGGTTGCGATGTTTGGCGGGGGCTAGGTTTAGGGTTTGGTTTAGGGTTAAGGTTAGGGTTGTTGGCTCTAATACCAACTTGAGATATTTGTGAGTGAAAGAGATACTCAAACTAAGAGTAGAACCCCGTATATATAGTCAAATAATAATACAAAGTGACTTAAACATCCTTGTGGTTTAGGCAAAATATAAAGTCATAGTAAAGGTTAAAAAGAGAAAAGAAATCCTAATAAACTAGACTATAATCCAACAGAAACTAATATGTGGCTATCATTGGCTTTATAATAATAATTGGGGATAAAATGAAAATTTTTTTATAGATCCCGACATTTAAAAGTAGTATAAATTTAAATTTCATGTGACAAGCTATGGTAAAGACTAATATGACAGATTCTAGCCTAGTTATTTGTGTGAATGTCTTATCAAAGTCTATTCCTTCAACTTGGGTGTACCCTTATGCAACCAACCTAGCCTTATATCTAATCATAACACCATTTTCATTGGATTTATTTTTAAAAATCCATTTGGTGCCAATTACATTGGTGTCTTTAGGCCTAGGTACCTAGTCCTAATCATCACTTCGTTTGAATTGCTTTAGCTCATCTTTTATAGCTATAAGCCAATAGTCATATTCAAGGTCCTCAATCACGTTCTTGTGTTCAAAGGAGGAGATTTAACAATAGTGACCCAATTTATTCTCAAATTGTCTCCTAGTTCCTATCCTTTTATTCGGGTTTCCTAAAATATCCCTAGGTGTGTCCCTAGCCAGAAACCACGAAGGTGTTGGTTTGGTGGGAAGGTCATCATTCCTTTTAGGGGTAGAAGTAGGTTCCGGTTCACCTTTATCTCCTATTGAAGCACTAGCTTCCTCATCCTCCTCTTTCTTAAGCACAAGATCCTCATGTGTCATAAATGACAACGTTTATGAATTCCATAACAGTAGATATTTTCAAATTAAACACTCTTATAAGCTCTACTGTTAGTGGAGTATCAAAGAAGATTCCTTCATTGCTTCGGGAGTTGAATTTTTCTAGATTCTCTCTCTCTCAAGATGTAGCACGCATTCCCAAAAATTCGAAAAATACTTCACATTAGGCTTTTGGCCTTTTTAGATCTCATAGGGGTTTTACATCTGCTTGGCTTAAGATAGACCCTATTGACAATGTAACGTGAAGTGTTCACAGCCTCGACGCAAAATATTTCAGGCAAATCCTTAATCATAACACGAGTCATTTCTTGAATGAATTTATTCTTTCTCTCTACTGTGTCATTTTGTTGTGGTGTCTTAGGTGCAGAAAACTCATGGTTAATGTTAAGTTCATCCAATATGCATAGAATTCAGAATTATTAATTTCTCTACTATGATCACTTCAAATCTTGACAATTTGATCTATGGCTTCACGTTAAAGCGTCATATTTTTCTCTAAAAAATGCCACTCAAGTGTACATAGAGTAATCATCTAATATTACTAAGATGGACCTCTTAGCTCTTATGCTTTCGATCTGTATAGGACCTATGAGATCCATGTGAATGAGCTCTAGGGGTCTTCTTCATTTTCTTATGAGGGACTTTAGTTTATTTTTCTAATTGACAAGGACTACACACTTTTGTAGGCAACTTACCTAACTTTAGATACTCCCCGCATACACTCTTTGTTTGTGGTTCTGTTAAGGTCTTTGTAGTTCATGTGACCTAACCTTTGGTGCCATTGTGTGACATCATCAACATTTAATACCCACTGTAATTACATTTAATACTCACTATAATTATATTTAATATCCCACTATAATTACATTTAATTCCCACTGCTCTTCTGTCTTTTATAATTTTTTTGTTATAAGAATAAATAATTACACTTAATACCCTACTATAATTATATTTAATACCCATTATAATTATATTTAATACATACTATAATTATATTTAATACCTCACTGCTGTGCAAGTTTTTTGCTTCTTTTTTTTTGTTATAAGTATTAACAATTACATTTAATACCCTAATGTAATTATATTTAATACCTACTATAATTACATTTAATACCCACTGCAATTACATTTAATTTTTAAGTATACATAAGTATCATTAATTTAATTTGATACCCTTCATTATTAGTATTATAATAAAATAGTATTATTAATTGGATTATATTACCGTAATAATATGATTTGGAGTAACTATTGTCATCATATTTATGTCACATATAGAGTTTCTCTAAGTAGCTACCCAGAGCCTACACCGATGTATGAGCCTGCTCGACACTCCACAGGGGAATGGATGTAACCATGTAAGTATGTACTCATTAGCATTTCATGTGTATTATAAGACCTTAATATTATGTAAAAATGTGTTTATTTCATAAAAATTAAGTGTTTGAAACTAATTTAAGTGACTTTCGCCTCAAGTCAAGCCTTTTTTTCCCTCAAATTTAAATTTATTCTTGTATAAATTGATGTTAACCTAATAAATATGTTGAATTAATAAATTATTTAGCATATCTTTATAAATTAATGGATTGCATTTGTGTTTCTATGCGTTTCCATATTTTTTCTGCGTTTCCATTGCGTTTCCGAAATGTTTCTGAAACGTTTCTATTTTTGAGTTGACCGAAACGGTACTTCGAAACGAAATTTTGATCCTTGACTCCACGTAACTTTTACCCGATTTTTTCCTAAGTCATTTGAAGACTGCTCTAGTAAAGGCTAACGAGTATAAGACGGCCTTTATAGGGTTTTTAAGCTTATGAAAAGGGCGGTCCCTACGGTTTTTTATTTTTTTAATCTTGAACACTAAAGGACGTTGCTCATGAGAGCTTTGATGGTGGCTCAAATCTATTTTTCAAAACACGCAAAAGGTTTAGAAATTTTTTTCTTTAAAAAACACTTGGAAACCATACTCAGATCAATTATCGATTCCATTTTAACTCTAATCCTCTTAAGTCTATTAAACCAATGGATAATTTTAGGTGTTTAGGCCATTACTTTTTTCTAAGTAAGAAGGTGCATACAGAGTGTTTTTGATGTAGCTTTGACGCATGATCTATTCCTTTCAATTCACGCTTTTGGATCTTCATCGTTGTAATAACATGACCATGAAATAGGCTGAGATTTACAAGGAATTAACAAAATTAGCTAATTACAAAAATAATCTACCAGTGTCTTACTTGTTTGTCGTATCTATACTTCATAGGTTATTATTATCTGCAGAGAATCATGAGTTTCATGACCTAATCCTTGCGAGGATTTGGCAAGCTCGCCTTTCTCCTTTGCGTTCTGCATCAACATGTCTTGTAGATCATATAATTTGCTTCTATGGTATTAAACGGTTCTCTGTGGCAAATTTGTAGCTTGTTTACAACTTCTGCATGGTCTTCACTATCCAATTATTTCCTATCCTCAAATCGATTTCAGTTTTGACTGTTTGCATTTGGTTTGGGCTACACTAGTGTTATATGTATTGGCTGCCATATAGAATTTGACATGACCCACGTGGGGGGACCTGACTGGGCATCTAACTGACCAGGGTCTTCTATTAGTTACCTGATTGCAGTTCAGAGTACTTTCATATACTATTTTTTGTAGTGCAGTTAATTGTTGGCAAACTATTTGTCTTGGTATGGTGCTAACAAAATTCCATCTCTTCCTTGAAAGTACAATACGACAACAGTTGACAAATACAGAAGACATACGTCGGATACGAAAGAAAGCTCCTTGCACTCGCCTTGAAATTTCAATGATTCAGAAACAATTTTTGGAAGATGAAATGTTTAGTAAATCCATACTGACTGGTGAGTATGGTTCAGAAATTCATATTATGTGGTTTTCATTTTCAGTTCTTGTAAGTTGAAATAAGTCAGTATTGTATTTTAGTGTTATTGGACCCTGATGACTATAAGTTGATTAATGTATGTGGTATAATGGAAGTGTAGCATTGGATGTCTGGATATATATGTCGCCATGCCATGCCCCACCTAAAGTGCCTATGCCAAAATCGAATTTTCCTTTAGGAGCATGACATCACTTCTATGCGTACTGTTATGTGTTTTTACAACTCATGGTGATGGCATATTTTTGTTGCGACTTCTGGTTCAGTGTGTCCAGTTAAGCCATTCTGCACGGTTGCTGCCTGCTCGCATACACAATAGTTGCTGTTGATTCACTTGGTAGAGTGCCTGTGTCTGTGTGTAAACACTAAGTTTTTAGGACGCTTTACTTTCACTATTACATAAATCTATGCAATGTTAGTGCTTTACTTCCAAGAGTAGCATTCTTTCATTGTTTGAGTAAGTGCATCCTTGTCTTTGATATATTTCCTCAGGTGTGTCGATGGAATTTGCTTCTCTACACAGTCAAGCACATGATCTTAGTGAAACGAGGGTCTCTCAAAATGATGTAAATACTGCTTCTTTTGAAGCTCCATCAGACCTGAAGCTGATTTCTCAAAATGATGAAAATGGTACAAACTTGGAGGCACCAAATGCCCATGATGAAAGTGAAATGGATGGCAGCATGGAATCTTTGCCAGTCAGAGGTAATGGTGAAGCACGACCTCTTGGTACCACCTTGCGGACTGAGAACCAGCAGTGGGAGGACCATGTGGTAAGCTCGGAGCCTTATCATACTCAAATGCAGATGAAGCCTACTGATGCAGAGAAGCCCAGAAGTTCACAAGAAGAGCTTTTGGGAGAGGCAGAGATAGAAATTGATGGAAGAAGCATTTCAGTTGCTGATGCAGTAAATCCTGTTGTTGCTTTCGGAGTTGAGTCATCATGCCCTATTGATCTGGTTTCTGGCGACATTTGTAATAGCTCAGCTGACCTGCTCCCGTTAGCTTCCATGGACAAAACCGGTGAGGCAGATGCTTCTGCACAGATTGATGAATTAAGTGTGTCAACTGATCAGAAGTTGGATATGCTGGATAATAGCAATTGGGAAGGAGTTGATGGGAGTGAAGCTGCAGATAGAAAGGAGGATGATATTGCTGGAGCTGAAATTAGAACTCAAGTGGGTGCTTCAGTAGAAGTTGGAATGGACATTCAGAATGACTGTTCTGTATGTATGGACGGTGCAGATCCTTTGACTACCTTTTCAGTGGAGATTGCTTCCATTGCCCATGTTGTACCTGTCTACCAAGCCATGGAAGAAATCAGACGAGAGGAGCAAGTAGCAATAAATGAGAATAAAATTTTAGATGCTGAAGTGGACTATAATGCCAAGAACTCGGCCTCTAATGGCTTCTATGGTGAAGAACTGACAATGGATTCTTCGTATGTAGCAAAAGTCAATGTGGATGTGAGAAGCGTTTCTTTAGATGGTGGAGGAAATTCAGGCCGGCAGGATTCTTATCCACTGAGCATCATGGATATGAAAACTTATGTACCTGACCTGGATCATTGTGATGTAAGTTGTTTTCTTGTTTTTTGCACTGTGTATTTATCCTTGCCAGATTTTCTTGACAAAACAACCAAATGCTACATTTTCTTGGATGCTTAATTTTTCGATATTGCATTCTTTGGCACGGTGGTACGTTTGTTCCATTGTGACCAGGGCGTTAAGAATTGGGGTCACGAAAATTGTCTCTCCGCATGCGGTGACAAAGCTGTGTACACCTGATCCTCCACAAACCCCTGCAAGCCTCGTGGACTTGGCCGCCCTTTTAAATTTTATTTCAGCCACTTGTTTGTGGCAATAGTCTTCTTGGATTTGTGACAATAGTCTTCGTGGAGACTAATGGGTTAATGTTGCTAATAATTTTCTTATAATACACGAACACATATTTTCCTCTTCACTCTTTCCAAGATTGAAAATTCACTACTTTCTCATTTAGTTGTTCTAATTAAGGTCATTGCATCTTCATGCATTTCCTTAATCATGACAATATATGTATTTGTAACTCTCTTCTTCTCTAACACCTGTCATATTATATCCCTAGGTACTCTTATCATATGCCTCCTCTTAAGTGTATAAACACGATATAAAGACTTTTTTTCGCTCTATCCTTTCATTGGTTTTCTATGCATCTTCGATCTTTCGTAGTTGACCTTCCAGGCATAAACTGTAATTAATACTCAAATACGGTTGTTTCAAGCAATGGTCAATGGCTGAGGCCCAAGTGGAGCAAAATCTGAGCTTGATTAGCATAGGTTGACCTCTCATGATTATCTCAGCAATAATCCTCACCATGTCCAGCAGCCCCACAATACAAACATTTCCATTCAGAGCGATTACCCCAACTACTACGACCACTTTGGCCACCACGTCCAGAACCTCTACCACCACGATTATCACCTTGCACTCAGAGGTTGATACAATATAAGTTCTTCTCATAATTCTTTCAAGATGCCATAATGTTCTACTAGAGATTTATTTTTTTGCTTGGTATTAGATAGACGCTCAAAGAGTTCATAGATTCTGGATACGTTATGTTCGTGGGAATAATCTCTTTAAGAGAGTCCGATATCTTCTTAGTTGTATCAAGAAGTTGAACATTTAGAGGTCACATATGATTCCATACTAAGATACAACCGGATCATCACCAAGGAATTTTAACTACACCGGTCTTCATTGGGAGGATTGTCAGTGGATATTTGGCTTTCCTCTTAGCTCGTAAGAAAACTTTAATAGCATGTGCTCAAGAATAATAATTGTGTCCATTCAATTTTACAGAAGTGATATGTCTAACGTGATCATCCAAAGAGTGAACCTGTTGAGCTTGATTATCAATAGAAGTATCTTTGACATCTTCCGAAGTTGCCATAGTTTAAAAATCAATTAACTAGGCAATAATAAACGAACCAATAATTCTTACCAATACAATCACCCAACCAAACACCAAATCACACACTTCACACCACTAACATGGAAGGCCAACAACACACCGAAATCCCCAAAACACACCCTCAGATGTCCAAATAATAAATATGTGGAACATAAAACACACGAAAAACTGTTTGGGGCAATTGTAACCCTGTTCGACTCTTGTTCGCAGGATTCAAGCAGGCCTAACACCAATTAATATTGAAGACTTCAAAGAAAACACACCTAGATTGAGCCACATATCACAGACGACGGAGTCCCCAACTAGAAAGCACTAGAACAGGGAGATATACTTTCACTGTGTGGTGCCAAATTTTGCTCAGCCATCGAAAACATCTACTAAAAAATGCATAGGTCTGCCAATGGAGCCTCCTAGGGTGTTAGTCGGACTTGTTTGTGGTAGAAGGAAGCTTTGAAAAAACTCGGATTGCCTCCAAGAGTCCAGATCACATAAACAGTCGACAATTTTTCAAAAAATATTCAAAAAATGGAAGTCAATCTGGATGGCCTCAAAAAAATTTGAAAAAATCACTATAAATCCCAGAGCACTGAGTCGATCATGGAGGTGGGTCTCATGGGAAACTGTTGTTTCGATAGTCTCTTCGACACATGAACAGTCGCCGATAACCTTCGTTTGGCTCAATTTGAGTTTTGTAATTAAGAAATAAGTGCTTTGATACCAAATTGAAAGTAATAAATTAATATTAGGGTTAGAGAAATATAGAGAAAAGAGAAGAAGAGGCATGAAATAAAGAATCAGTTGTGTATGAGCTATGTTCTCCTACACCATCTTATTTATAATTGAGCAATATTTAGGGTGATTCCAATACTACCCTACACTAATACTTTGCATCTAGCTCAGAATAAGAATCATCATATACTTTGCATTTAAAACTTGACTAAAATCCCAACTTTAATTTTTGTACTAAACTAAATTTAATTAGTTACATCAATTACGCTTATTTTGTTTGCAAATTAAGGCCAAATTTTAATTAAACAAATTTTTTATAAAAATAAAGCCAAATCTATTCAATTTTGTGCATTATGTTGATTTAACTGTGTCAATTAATCAGGTGCATTAAATTATTTTTGGTCCCTAACTTAAGCTCACATTCAATTAATTATGTAAATTAAATCAAATTTAACTCCAAATTCAAACCAAACTTTAAATTTTGTCACTAAATTCATGTACATACCAATTTTTTGTTTTTAAAACTATCTTACACCACCACCCATATCGCCAACCTTCGTCGTTGTGACCACCAACAAGTGTTTGCTTTAGACAGTCTCTGACATCTCTCCTCTCAATGTCTCTGGCTCTCGTCTTACTGCCCCTCCCACCACTAGCATTATTATCCAGTCCATCCCAAATTGGCCCAGACACCACCATTACCATCCCCCACAAAACCTTTATTGCCAAACTAAGAAGACTCATAACCCTAACCCACCTTTTCCAAGGCAAACCCATTATACCTTAAAACCAACACGCCGCCCTGGCCACACGGTACTTCAAGCCACCAAAATTGCATTAGATGAGTGAGTGAGTGAGATACTTGGATTTTTCAGATCTATGTTGATTTTTAAATTTGCGTTCCATTTTTCAAAGAGGTTTGATTTTCCATAGAGTTTGATTTTTCGATTTTTCAAATCTATGTGTTGATCTGAGCTCATTTGATTATTCAGATGTGGGTTTTGTGTTCGATGAAGAACTTGGGTGTTGATCATGGTCAAAGTAAGGAAAGAGCGAGAGAGATAGAGATAGAAGAGAGGAGAGAGAGTTTTTTTTAAGATCTGAGTTCTAGCCATTTCCATTACACCCGAGGAGAGATGAGCGAGATAGTTTGATTTTGGTGGGGTGGTGTGAGGCTGTGGAGAGACTGGTGTTATACAAAGAGTGTTAGAGGGTCATGGGTCATAGACATGGGCGGGCTATATATTTAATTTAGGGTAACTGACTAAAATGATGCTTAAACTATATCACTGGTTTCAATTTAGTCCTGGGAATATTATTTCAATTAAGCACTCTTAACTTTTAGTTTCAGTCAATCTGGACCTTCCATCTAAATCCGTTAAATTTGACAATGACATGAACGCATGTGCTTATCACATGATTAATTAAGAAGGGTACTTCAGGTAACTAAAACTACCAAATACCCAAATTCAAACCCAATCCTATCTGACCTGCACACCCAACCCGTCGCCTGATACTCTCTTCTTCTCCATTTCTTTCTTCTGATTTCCCAAACAAAACCTTGATCGTAGACCCCCACCACCAATCTCACTCTCATGAACAAAATGACATTCAATTGAATACACCAGCACTACTTGTTTTTTATCTTTTCTTTTTTCCTTTGGGAGAAAAACCCCAAATTCGTTTGCTTTTTGGAAGTTCACATAGATTTCAAACATGACACAAAGAGGACTAGTGCAATTGCAGGTTTCAAAGTTCCAGGGGAATTCTGCCATTTCTGAAGGAGAAGCTTCAATAGAAGATCCCATCAAATGAGGATAACAACTTTGATTGAACTGATTGAGCTAGGTTCGTTCGAATTGTTCGGTTTATTGAGGCCAATAAAGTGTTATAGTGTTGGGGTTTGTGGTAGTGGTGCCGCTGTTGTGGGTATTGATGTTGGTGTTTGTAGTGACTGTTGGTGCCATGTCGACTGAATGTGTGTAGTTACTGTAGGTTACGTGGTGCTGGGCGTGAGTGTGTATTGGTGCTGACTGTGGTGCCATGGTTTTGACTTTGGTGTTGTGGTGTTGACCGGTGCCAAGGGGTAACTAGGTTTGGTGGTGTGAGAGGAGACAGAGAGGAGTATTAAGTGGAGCATTGGTTGTGCAAGAGAGGAAGAGAAGCAGAATGCAAGAGAAGAGAGAGACAATTTTGAAGTTGGGTGAAGGCAGAGGCAGAGGCAGAGGCAGAGGCGGAGGCAATGGGTTTGAGGGGTGAACTGGGTTGAGATATTGAGTCTGGGTTTGAATTTGGGTATCGGGTTTTTTTTTTTTAATTGCCTAAAGTAGTTTAAGAATTTAGTAACTACTTTACCATCCACAAGAACCACAATCAGGAATAAAATGATCTTTTGGCAGTGGGGCATATTGTAAAGAGTAAAGGAAGAGTAGAGGACAAAAAATGGGGTTACCTCTTGTATATATATAGGATTCTGATATCTCGGGCTGTTTGGTATGTTATTCCTCTTACAAAAGTGAAACGACATTCATTCTTGACAGAGGTAGAATATAGATATTCAAGTGGGTAACTAAACTAGTTGCTAATTTATTATCTAATTTCTTATGCAGAGGACATTAATCATGCATAGATATTGTTTATTATCTCTTTCTTTTTCGGGTAAATGGATCGCCGTGTTGTTTCACCAAAACTCAAGGGATCTGAATGTAGTTTGCCCTTCTATTTCTTTGGGGCTAAGAAATGGTAAAAAAATATCCGGTGTCCATATAATTTTCCCTCTGTAGCTCCTTTTCAAAATCTGCATTTTATTTATCTAGCTTTGATTTCTATAAATAATAAGAATGGTCAATCACGAGTCATCTCCAGCCATTTTAGTTGCATTTTCTTGGTAATTCTCCTAGCTCCTTTCAACAGAAAATGTCAACATGAATGTACTTTTGGATGGCCACAAGATAAAGAACTGCTAATAGCATGGAGACATATGGAAATATGCGAATCCAATTTGCTTGGCTTAGGCTAAACAAATGTTCCAATTTCTGACCTTAAGAATTATGATAGAGCAGTGTAATCCCAAGGATAAGTACTAAATCTCACCCAAAATGATATAACATATCCATGGCCCTTCGAATTCACCACTGCACCTTTGATGTTTGCTGGATGAACCTATGCCGCATATATTCATCACTGCCCTTCATAATGCTATGATTCATCTCCTTTTCATGTCACATTAGAGATATCTTCCATCCTAATAGTATTCTCGGTCCAGTGATCTAAAAACAAACACTTTCTTTTCTTTAATCAGAGGTAGAAAGATTTCCCTTTTCCTTCCTATGGTGAGGATTGGCTTAATTTGGTTTTTTGGTTCTTGGTGCAGGATTCTAATTATTCAGCAGTTGGGCATGATACAGGTATGCTTCTCTTTCTATTTGATTTGATGCTGATATCATTTCTCAAGGCTTTTTTATCAAGTAAAATCTAGCTTAGGAATATCCTATGTGTTTGGTGGAGACCTAGGAAAACTCTAGCTTTAGAAATTTTCAAGGTTTTTAAGGTTTGCTTTAAGGCCTTTTTTTTCCTGTTGACGGGAGGGAAATTTTGATAGTTTTTATCTGGGAATGCCCAAGAGTCTGTTATAGGTCCATTTATGTCCTCAAATTTTGGAAACATACTGTCTTGATCACTGTTTGGCTCTTTTTTCTTAAAGAATGTTTCTGTTGTGTGTATTTTGTTCTAGAGTCTGGACTTCCTGTGATTCATGTATTTTTTTTTTTTGGCTGGGTTTTCAGAGTTTTTGAATGTTGATGATGATGAGGTAGCTGGAGCAGATGACGAGGGTATGCCTAGTGCTGAAGAAACCCGCTATCTTGAGAACAGTGGATGGTCTTCTCGTACCAGGTTCTATTTTCCCTCCAAATGTGCTGCATTAATGTTATGCTAGAATTCAATATACTTGAGAGGTTCAATTCAAAGATTTAAAAAAAAAAATGATATATGTGCAACATAGTTGCAACATGCTGCTGCATTTAGCACTGTCTTAAAAGACCACAAATAGATACAAACTTGGTCAAATAGAGGGTTGGGGCATGCTGGTCGATCAATTATGCAGCTGAAAAAATTTGGGAGAAAACCTTGTCTTTTCATTTTTAGTTTCTCTCTCTCTCTCTCTCTCTCTATATATATATATATATATATATATATATATATATAAAACAGGGTAGACTTCAACAAGCCCATCCGATGGTCTCAAATAGACTCATCCAACGGCACTAACATCCCTCTCAAAATCATTTACATTGAATTTTTTCCCCTCCAAAACCATTACTTCTCATTTACGTTGTACCGTACCTTCAGACACGGGTTATCTTAGTGTGTGTGTGTGTATATATATATATATATATATATATATATATATATATATATGTATGTTGTATATAGGTGCGGAACCAAAATTTTTGTTTAGGGTGGACACTATAATTACAGACTCTAATTTTTTCCTCCTAAATAATCACACTATATAAGATATTTATATTTATTATATCCATAGTTATCAAAATCGTACGATGCGCGATTCGATTCATACGATTCGGTTCGATATAGGTACAAAATGATTCGTATCTTATATGAGAATTGTTTTAGAGTTGAATCGCGCCTGAATTGTACGATTCGATTCGTATCTACGAATCACACGATTCAATCACTTTTTTTTAAAACCTAAATTTTTGGCAAAACGATGTCGTTTTGTCTGCTAAACAGTAAAACAACATCGTTTTGTTTACAGAGAAACCTACGCCCTAAAAATTCTCAACCTCTTTGCTCGTTATCTTTCTCTGATGTCGTCTAAAGTTCGCCTTGCGTTGTCTAAAGCTAAAGGTCACGGCTAACGCTCTTGAATCATTGGTTGATTTTTGCTATCAATTCTTTCATGAGTAGTTTGTTAGATTCTAATTTTTTGTTTTAATATGTTGGCTAGTATTCATGTTTGTAACTTAATCTATACTGGGTGTCGCTATTTTGATTCTTGAATAACCTTTGTTCTTTTATGAAGTTTTTTTTCAAGTTGTTAAATTTAAAAATAGTTAAGCAAAAAATAAAAAAAAAAACAAAGCGCTTCTTTCTATTTAGACGATGTGATTATGTCAATTGATTATTTTTAGAATGCAATAATATTCAATGTTCCATATTGAATATTGAATATTTTGTCTATTTTAAATGTAATATTATTTTTTATTTTTGTTCAAATTGTGTGTCGAATCTTACGATTCACGATTCGATACGATTCACGATTCTCAAATTTAGCATTCCGATTCATGATACGAATCGCGATTTAACAACTATGATTATATCATATTTGATACATGAAGTCCATTTAACATAAAAAAAAGCTAAAAAATAATGTATATTGTATATGTATAAAAAAATGACTAATTATCACCATTGTAAAAAAAGTGGAGTTAATTGTTATTTTCGAAATTAAATAGTATCAGTTATTCACTAACAATTCATTAAATTTATCATTTATTCCAAACATTGTATATTAGCATAGTAAAATTACTAAACTAAAATTTAAAAGCTAAACATGATAAAAAAATTGAAAATCGATTGACACATAATGAAGACTATAATGAATACTCGAATAAAAATAGAGTCGATTTCATATAGAAAACAAAAAGTCAAATGAAGGTCAATTGCAAGAACTTTCACTTGCAAAATTCATAATTAATAAAATTAAGATCATGCAATTGGGCTGGATTCCAAACTTTTTTACTGCTTTGAATTCACTTAGTTTTTTACATGACTGTCTAGATTTTTAGAAAACCAATATTTATTGATAGAATTACTTTAGACAGTCTGTGAGCGTTTCTAAATTTCTGTTTCTTGTAGAGCTGTTGCCAAGTACCTCCAAACCTTGTTTGATAATGAAGCAGAGCGTGGAAGGAAGGTTGTTCCCATGGACAACCTGTTAGCCGGTAAAACTCGTAAGGAGGCGTCGAGGATGTTTTTTGAAGCATTGGTATGTTTATCCAAAATTTCTTACTCTGCAACAAATACGAACTCACTGGGTTTATCTTGCTTTTATGTGCATCACCATACTTGGCTTAGTATCTTTTTTATGTGTTCAACAGTTTAAATGTGGTAAGGTTAGATAAAAAATGATGATGCTGTCTCTTTGAGAATTGTTTTTTCATTCATGGACACCAGTCCTGTCACCTGTGCCAAGGCTCGTTACTTCATTCAACTCAATCACCTGGCAGGAGGGTTATAAGGGGGGATTTGGCCTAGCAACTGCAGGCTCGCCCTGAAGTTTTTTTTTGGGGGGGGGAGGGGGGAAGATGGAATCAATTCAACCCTTGAAATATAAGTGGGCAAGGTTTGTAGTCAGCCCTCGTGACTGAAGCTTAATGTAAATTATTGTCATCCGTGGGCTAGTGACTGCAGGCTATCCATTTTGAGCAATGCAAATTAGGGTAGATATTGCATAGCCAGGACTGGGAAGCTACCAATCTAATTGCCCTTCTGTTATGAAAATAAGGTCCATTGTCTTGAACTCTGCCTCTAGGATTCCTGTGATGTCTTCACCTACCCAAGGTGCAACAAGGCATGCCTAGTTGGCTTGGTGCCAATCCCAAGTCGCGTCTAAGGTGCGTCTTCTTGTAGTTTTTATTTTTATTTTGTCCTTTTCCTCCGTATTGTCCGATCTTATGCAGTTTCATGATATGGGGTCTGTTATACACCAAAACAAAAGATATGAACTTATCTGACCAAATTCAATCGCTGTTCTTGCCCCAAAAGAAATAATTGATCATTCCTTTCTTTATCTTGCTTGCCGACTGAGAAGTTGAAGCTTGAGAAGATGACCCACTGACCCGATAAGTCCCTCATCTTCTTCCTCCTTTCCTTTTCTGCTACTGCTTTTTCCGCCTCCTTTCTTTTGCTTTCTCAGCTTCTGCCTTTTTTCTTCTTTTCTTCTTCTGCCTTCTCTCTCTCTCTTTTTCCACTTCTGTCATTTGAATTCGTATTTTCTTTCTTCAGCTTGTTTTGTTTCATCTTAAGTCCCTCTCTTTCTGTCTGTCTCTCTGTTCCCTGTTTTCTTTTCCTTTTCTTTTTGTCTTCTTCCTTCTTAATCTGTCTATTTCTTTGATCTTTGTCATTCTCTCTCTCTGTCTTCGTCTATTTTTCTCTGTCCAAGTCTTCTATTCTTCTCTTTGTGAAGTAGCCTCTAATTTATTGGAATCAAACTGCTTTTTTTTTTTTTTTCTGGTGTGCAACAGCCCTAATATTTGAAACTAGCCTTGATAGGAATACAGTGTGCAATTAATCAGGAGGAGGTCAAATTTAGATTGCTGTTCAAGTCAGTGAAGCTATTTCAGTGTAATTCAATGAGGTGTTGATTGAATTGGTGATTTAACATTTGTTTGATTCATTTGGAATTCCGGTGGGTTAAGTGTTTTGCTTAATTTTTTGATTACTTAATTTTGTTAATTGCTTAGTCACATAATTTGCTTAATTGTCTAACAGTCTAATTGCTCTTAATTTCTTCATTGCCTTTAGTAATATATTATCTGTGTGACGGCGAAAATCCTGATTGGTCATTGTGCTTGTCCTCACCCTGTTAAAGAGTTATGTCTGTGGCATTTGGTTCCCTCCTTCGTGATTCACTAGCATGCTCTTCTGGTTTGTACCTATTTTCTGTTCTTTTCGGTCTTTGACCTTTTTATTGATGTGGATATGGTAATTTTGCAGGTTCTTAAAACACGAGATTACATCCATGTAGAGCAGGAGAATCCCTTTGATAACATCAGTATAAAGCCTCGCGTAAAGCTTATGAAATCAGATTTCTGATTTCTCACATAGGAAAGTCGTGCATGGATGCAACAAACGAGGGCTACTTGGGGTATAAGTTATCTATGGGTCCATTCTTTTCGGAGTTATGCTTTAATAGGTCACATAATTTGTTTTTTTAGATAGTTTTAATCTGTGGGGCTGAGTGAAGCTTGTATCACTAAGTATGGTAGGGTTAGTGTTGTAATATGGGTCATATTTATCTGTATATATTCTGTAACTGTAGTTGAGGCTAACCTCATTCGTTCCAATGTTGTATTAGTTGAATTAGTTCGGACCTGATTTTCTATGCTGTGAATTGAGCATTATGGAAAAAACTCCCTGTAGTGGGTTGTACTTTTTTATGGTGCATGAGTTACCATGAAAGATTAAGGAAAAACGTATGGGGAGGAGATGCAGATCCTTGAACTGCGTGTATCCCTGAATTCTTTATCTATTTAAAGGCTGTGTGATTCTTCCATTTATGTTTCATTTATTCAACTTTCTTTTAAACTCTAGTATGTGTTGTGATTGTCGACTTATCTTTTACACAGCAAGTTTGAAGTCTGGATAAGTAAGTGTTGACCTAAAAAGCGATTGGGATGTAGGTCCCATTAGATACATATTGATTTCTTTCTAGTGGATCAAGAATAGCTAGTTGTTGCATCAATATATAAAAATAGGAGATTTTCCTTGATTCTTGATAGATTCCGTCTCTCTCTTCCGTATTTCTTTGATAATAGAGTCGGTTATATCTGTGGCATTGATTGTATAAGTTTGTGAAGAGGGCTGGACGAGTGAAATGAGGGAGAGCGCCTCAATCAACAAAAAAAAATAGCTGTCCTAGAACATGACAAAGTCATTCTCATGGATTCCCGAGCATGAATCTTAAAAATGCTCATCTCGGGCATTCTCTTTAAGATGTGTCTTGTATCTACACCTTGGTGTTTCGACAAATGGGCAAAAGGTGTTGCATTTTAGTCACGATACAATGAAGTATGCTAGGTGTTTCACGTCACTTGGCACAAATGTAGATAAATAAGTTAATTTTGTTAGGTAAAATTGCATAATTTTATAAAATTAGTAGACAAATTAACTTCAACAACTCAAAATATTGTATGGTGAAAAATTCGCACCTATCAAAATAAGAATATTTGTTTGGGATGAGTACTCTAAATCGCCTTTGACCTGCAATACAAATAATCTGCTATAGACTAGAGAGATATCGGTCGTAGGTGTTCCAATGCTTATGTTAGTAGTGACACGAGAGACTGCAATTCAAGAGGGAAAGTGTACGTATTTTAAATTTACGCTTTATCCGATATTTATAGGGAACTTGTCCCTAATTATTTAGGACTACAGATATGGTTGAAATATGATGGCATGCCTAGATTTCAATCAAACCTATCTTAATTCATGTTTGAACCTTATAGGGTTTCCTTTCTGATTAGTCGAATTTTTAAGTCACGTGTTAATTATGTGTTTCTATGATCTAGACAATTTGTTTATTGGCTGTCTAGCACTGCCATTAATTTTTTGGGATAGCCTATCTATCTGTTCGGTAGGATCTTGTCCTATACTCGATTGAACCATTTTAGCTCGGTCAGGATAGCCTAGTTATCTGTTCGGTCGAATCTTATCCTTTACTCAGTTGGACCTATTTTAACTTGGTTGGGATAGCCTAGTTATTTGCTCAGTCAAAGTAAAGTCATTCAAAATAAATCTTTTTAGTCCAATTGTCAAGTGATGATCTAAATTTATTAACCCCTTCAAATACGAAAATTATATGATACAATAGCATGTCATTAGAACAGTATATAATAGATAATAATATCTAGAAAGAGATGACATGTGATATTTGAGAGACGTATAATCAGTTTGTCTCTCCATGTGAAGGCAGACATCAGTGGGTCTAAGATTCAACCTATATACGCTCACAGCAACACCACTAAGTGGTTACGTCCAAAATGATCTGATTTGAATTTAGTTACCAAAAAAACAAGAAAATATAATATGCTTATAGGTACCAAAATGAAGTAACAGGAAATGTGTAGGAAGAGAACGTTGTAACACTGGGTGAAAGGTGTAAGAATTTGGAGAGTAGAGAATAACACTTGTACATTTCCAAACCAACCACCACATTGCTTTTATAGGCAATGTCTCAGTAGTAGTTATGTAAAACTTCGTGTATTTATTTTAAATTTATTATAGATTTGTGTATATCATGTTAAGGTGATGATTAGGCATAAGATATTGAGCGATTGAGGGGATTTTGAGGGGATGTGGTGACGTATGACACTCTCTTTATGTTATCATTGTGGTCCCTTGCAGAGAATAATCTGGTTTTTAGCAATGATGACTGTTTCCCTCTATCGATCCATTTACCTCTCTTTCACTTGTCCTCAGCTCTGTCTCTGGGTCTTCTGTGAGAGAGACTGGCCTTCAAGTTTCGATCTGAAAAGCCTAGGGCATGGGCACTGGGCAGGAAGAAAACGATTTGACACTCCTTCGGTGTAATGGCATAACGTTTTACCCCAGTTTTTGATTAATTTGGTTCTTGTGGCATTGGGAGAAAAAACTTCAATCTATACAAAAATGTATTTTATGAAAAAATCGTGCATTGATCTCTAACTAGGACAAATCGCATTGGAAGTTTGGGGCATTAAATATTTTGAACAGAGTTTGAGGTATCTTGCATCTGGATGCAAATTAAAATTTTGGACAGTGAGTTAGCACCATTTGGATGCAATTTTTTTGTCTAGACGAACATGCGATTTTGACCCGAATTGGATTGCGACGTTTTAATCAGTTTTTGACCTTATAAATGCCCTAGGAATCAGTTTTGAGGTTTGTTTGAGTATTCCAACCTTGCAAAACCTAACTGAGATTGGAAAAAAGGTTAATGAATAGGAAGAAGAGTAGATCGGACTAGATCTTCAGAAGATTCACACATAGGATGTAAGACCTCATACCAAATTTAAATATGGTCAATATGGTCTCAAGAGTACTTTTAAAATAATTACAATGATGATAGAAACTTCAAATTATTATCATGAAATTTGAGTTTTCTGCGTATTAACTTTTGAGTCAAAGTTAGTTTCGAAGATATTTAAGCTTGATGGGGTAAATATGTATTGAATTTCGGAGGTCGTGAAACTTTGAGGTAGACATTTAACTTGTATAGCAGTATGAATGGGTGAGATGGAATTTTTTTTGTTTCAAGTACTTTATTCTTTAAGAGATCAAAAATGGTTGTTGATTAAGATATTGATTATTCAAGATGTATCTAATGTGTTTCAAGATTATTTAAGATGGTGTTAGAGGTTGGAAGTTGAAGAAAAGAAGTTTGGAGGTGTTTTTGAGGCTTAAATGCATTTTAGTGAGATTTCGGAGAGAATAAATTTGACACTACTTTAGTATTTTGATCATATTTTTTTATGCCGATGTATTATTTAGCTAATTCTTGCGGCATTAGAAAGTATACTTCAAGAAATACAAAAATATATTTTATGAACTTTTTTTGAATCGGTCTCTAACTAAGTCAAAATTGAGTCGCTATTTTGAGACAAAAAGTCACTCGTCTCCGGGTGAAAATCACGTCCAGACGAAAATTGCGAAGCTGTTGGAAGTGACTTTGGTCCATTCGGATGCAAAAGGTGCATCTGGACGTGCCTCTGAAGTTAGGCCCGATTAGTTTAGAGTGTTTCCTTCGTTTTTTGACACTATCAATACTCTAGGGACACGTTTTGTAGATTGGACATAAAAGCGTAGGCAATCATAAAAAAAGACCTTAGAAACGATATGATTCAAAGGCTACCACTGGAGATTCTATCCAACCTCACAAATTGGAGTTGAAGATCTTGTTGGTTTTATAAACCCATTGGTTTGTGCATGTAGAGGATTGTTGGTGTGCCCATAATTGTTCAAGATCTAGACGAACCATTCGGCGAGGATGTCCAAGTGAAGCTAAACTAGACATTGAAGAGGGACTTTCGGCCAAGTGACATAGCAAGGAAATGAGCATCTAACCATGGTATTAATTGAGATATAAGTTTTCGAATACTTGTTTGTTGACTTAGCGAGTAGTGACTTAGGCTTTGGGGAGCCGAGAAGATTCCCCATAGTTTTTCCCTTAGAGGATTTTTCGCGTCAACAAATTATTTGTGTTCTTTACTTTTATTATATACACTTGTGATTTTTTTCACACACACACACACGCACTATGTGTTTGTTGGAATGATTGATTGAATATCTATCCATACATAATTGTGCATTGGGCTTGGAGTTTCGAGATTGTTGTGAAATTGAGTGAGACCAAATTAATTGAATATTAATTAAAATAAATTGTCATGGTTAAAGGTGGTTGTAATGACTAAAGGGGTGCACACATTTTTTGCTTAATCTTTATGAGAAAAGATAATTGCGGTAGACATAGATTTTAATTGTTAATCAATTTGAGCTAAAATTAAAAAACCTATTCACCCCTCTTTAGGTATAGTGTCTTTGCCTCTACTTGTATAATCGTGAGGGAAGATTCGTATTGGGTTCTCCCTTCTGAAACAACAATTAGTGTTAGAGCGTGATTGCCCTAAGATCAGAGACACTAATTAGGCATATATTGTTTTTGTAACATCCCAACCCAAAAATAATACATTTTCTTATACCAGTAAGGTGAACTCTGTTATTTTAGCAAAGTCTTGTACATATAGTTAGACTCCTAATATACACGCGTCAACCAGTAGCAACCAAAACAGAGTTTAAGTTCCTAAAACATGCGTAGATAGGTTGCGCGCACCGCTATACCTCATATTTATAGACCACAAAAATAATTTGGAACTCAAATATTTACAAGTTCCTAAAAGACACAAAGGACTTTAAGATTAACTTCTCCTCAGCCACCTAGACTCAGCAGCGGACTCCTCCCGTTGCATAGGACCATAGACTACAAAGAGTGAGCACGATAAGTTCAGTGAATTTACATGCACAAATAAATTGAAAGAAATAAGATTCTTTCAATATAAACATGAATTCAATATAGTAAAAGTGAAACCACCATACAAACTATCATTCTTGTGAGTACACCATAAAATATTATATTGTTTCCGACACTAAGGTCATACTTGTCACTAAGGATATATCATAACCGCCACTAAGGCTATATTATATCCACCACTAAAGCCATATCATTTTAAAACTAAGGCTATATTACATTTGCCACTGAGGCCATATCGCATTCGCCACTAAAGATATATATCTACCTTTAAGGCTATATTTTCCATTTAGGCTATATCCATATCACATTTGCCACCAAGGTTGTATCTCATTTGCCACTAAGGCTATATTTCATTTTCCCTTAAGGTCATATCACATTGCTACCAAGGCCATATCTCATTTGCCACTAAGACTATGCCACATTGCCACCAAGGCTATACCGTATTTGCCACTGAGGCTATATTTGTCTTTAAG